TTTGTCTTGAGGAGTGCTCCATGGTTTCGAACTGCGGGCCTTGTGGATCACAGCCCAACATGTAACCACTACACCACGACTCCCTCCCACAGCTGAGCTCCCGTGGACTTGTGCTCTCCTTCCAGGTTCATGAACCACCGCGTCCCTGCCCACAAGCGGTACCAGCCCACGGAGTATGAGCACGCCGCCAACTGTGCGACTCATGCTGTGAGTCAGCGTGGGGAGGGGTCGGTGCGGCGGGTGGGTGGGGAAGGGTGAGTACAATGCCGACTGGGGTGTGGCACCGAGTAGTGTCTCTTGTGCCCATGAACCTTCCATGGCTCCCTGGTACCCAGCACTCCATCCGACACTTTGGCGGATTCCTGGCCAGGTCCCACTGCTTGGCTGCCACCCTCAGGCTCATGCCACTCTGCTCCACTCCCTGATTCCTAGCTCAAAGGCAGCCCTCATGCCTCCTCACGGTCCCTCTGCTTGGAATTCGGCCATCCCCACCTCTGAAACCCTCTTAACGTTGAAAGGATAGAAAACAAATACAGAACATATAAAGCAAAAAAGCCCAGTTGCTTGGTGATCCAGTATGTGTCCAAGCAGAGCTCTGCTCCACGGTACCACCCACACCCCGTGGATGGCTTTTTGGGAGTAGCCTGCCAGGCCTTTCTTCCGTGGTACCTGTGCATAGACCTGAACCTCCAAACATCCAGTGAGCAGCACGTGCATTAACCACTTGCACCACTGTTGCCTAAATGTGTCTCCACAAACATCTGCCCGGAGGGTGGGAGCTCTGAACCCAATATTCCTGAGCACACAGTTCTCATCGGCCCACCCGGTGTCCTGATCTGGCAGAGAGGTGCTTACCCAGGCTCCCTGCAACAGTGGGGTCCTGGGGATGCCCAGAAGCACCTGACACCCTGAAGCTGTGAAAACCCACCCACACCCACCACCATACTGTGGTTCTGATTCATGGTGATGCTCCTTCCAGGAGCAGGCAGCCTCCTCTTTTCCCCCTGGGGTCGCGGTGGGGGTTGAACCACAGACCTCAAGGTTAGCAGCTTGATGCCTAATCCACAGCACCACCAGGGCACAGCGCCAGACAGTCCATGGAAAATTCAAACCCACTGCCATCCAGTCAATTCTGACTCATAGTGACCCTATAGGGTAGGGTAGAACTGCAGTAGCCCTCTGGGTTTCTGAGAACAAATCTTTACAGGAATTGAAACCCGCATTTTTCTCCCATGCAGCATCAGGCACCTTCAGACTGCTGACCTAGTGCTTAGCAGCCCAGTGCAAGACCACCATGCCAGGGGGGCTGCTGGGTTGGTCCAGTTGACTAGAATTGGTTCCCAGCCTTGCCTCTTCTTCATAGATGCAGGGCTGATTTCTAATATGCAGCTCTCGTATATACCACACAACTCTATTCGAGAAAAATGCACCTCTGCTCTGTAACATACAATTTTACCCGGTAACACTCAGTT